CTGCCCACCCCGCCCCTCTCTTCCGAGCCGCTCTCTGAGAGATGGTAAACTTTAGCCGCACTCATCGTGAAACTTGCTAACTTGCACGCTAATAGGATTAGGAAAGGCGATTTGCAAAGATTCATAAAAAAAAACGTATACTCCCTTCTGGAGGTGAGGCTGGATCATGAATGATTCGCGCGAACATAGACGCATTTAGGCAGATCAGGGGTGCATTCCCTTCAGAAACAATGTAATCCACTGCGTCTTCAGCGGCTCAGATATCAGGAGTAAATGACGACTGCTATGTTCATTATTACATCCAACAACAAAACACTTCAATCGCTTAGGAGTCATTCTTGTCTACATCTGCTCCGGCGTCGAAGCAATGGTGGACTGATGACACCTCACTCAGGGCGGGTCTAAGGTAAGACGGCCATGTCAATCAACTATCGTGGGAGGGCCTGGGTCTGTGTGACGTTACACAGACAAGAAGCTGAGAACGGCTTGAATTGAGAAAGGGGTAATGATTTTAATAGATTAAAAAATCCACTGGGTGGATCATTATACAACCTGGGTGGTTGTGTACACACACTGCCAACACACATTTATGTTCAAACAACATGTAAACGTGCATTTCGCATCCGATGACCCATTTAAAGGGTTAGTTCACCCAAAAAGATTATTCACCCTCATATGTCGTTTCAAACCCCTAAGACCTTCGTTCATCTTCGGAACACAAATGAAGATATTTTTGATGGAATCTGAGAGCTGTCTGACCCTGCATAGACAGCAACGCAACTGAAATGTTCCCAAGTCCAGAGACGTAGCAAGAAGATCTGTAAAATAATCCATGTGACATCAGGGGTTCAACCGTAATTTTACGAAGCTACAAGAATAATTTTTGTGCGCAAAAGAAAAAAAAAACGACTTTATTCAACAATTCGTCTCCTCCGCATCACCCTGGTGCCATTTTGGAGAATATCCGCTGGACGTAAACAGCTTATGCTGTTCTGTGCTGTTCAGCTGCGTTATGCCGGATCTGTTTCCTACGTTGTTGTGATTTGATCTGAACGAAAACAGCATATCCGTGTGACGCAGCTGACACAGAACAGCATACGCTGTTTATGTCCAGCGGATATTCTCCAAAATGGCACCAGGGTGATGCGGCGGAGACGAATTGTTGAATAAAGTTGTTTTTTCTTTTTCTTTTGCGCACAAAAAGTATTCTCGTAGTTTCATATAATTGCGGATGAACCACTGATGTCACATAGATTATTTTACAGATCTCCTTGCTACGTTTCTGGACTTGTGAATATTTCAGTTGCGTTGCTGTCTATGCAGGGTCAGAGAGCTGTCAGATTCCATCAAAAATATCTTAATTTGTGTTCCAAAGATGAACGAAGGTCTTACGGGTTTGAAACGACATGAGGGTGAGTAATTAATGACATCATTTTCATGTTTGGGTGAACTAACCCTTTAAGCGGACTAAATGATTGGAGAAGACTTGCATAAGTCGAAACATTTAAACATTATGAGGTCAAATACTTAAAAAAAAATAAATGTACATGGATTAATTGTTCACAGTAAGACCTATAACATGCATTTTGAAAATAGATTTCCATTTCATGATGACTTTCAAGCCAAAGGTATGCCATTTTTTTATTGCACCAGTTGGTGGGTTAACTAGGTGGCAACACTCACAGTTTTTGGAGATCTAGTCAAAAAAAACTGATAAGATCAATGAAGACAACAGAATGCAAAAGTGGAAACGACAATAATTGATATGTAAGGAAGTCAAAAGGTTGCCATGACTGTACGACGAAAACAATACAACTTTGTGTTGACCTCTACAGGACAGGTGAAGTATCAAAAGTCGAACACATGGTCGTGGTCAACTGAGGTCATGGTCAATTGAGAATACTTTGAAGACTACAACATTAGACTGTGCATGAAACATAACAGCAAGCGGAAAAACTAAGTGCACCCCAGGCTTAATGGCATAGTACACCCAAAAAGGAAAACTCTGGCATTTAGTCTGTTGGGCTTTCTTTCTATGGTTGAACACAAAAGAAGAAACATTTTGACAAATGCCTTTATTGTCTCTACACTGAAGCCAGTGGGGTTCAAAATTACATTGTTTTGGAGTCCATTGACTTTCATTGCATGGAAAAAAAATGGTTCTTAAAATTTCCTTCTTTTGTGTCCCACAAAAGAAACAAGAAGAATGGCATAAAAAGTGACAGAATTGCCATTTTCGGGTGAAAATATTTGCAGTAAATTCAATGCAACATTTTCCTTAAAACCTGATTTATAAACAAGAAATTCATTTTGCTAGAGTTAAAAATGCAATTCAATAAGCAGATCAATATGTAGTGCATTTTAACAGCAACTCTGTTTGACAGCGTGATCATTCTACAATATCTATTTGGATGAAGTGTAAACACTGCCCATTACATCCGTGTTCCTACTCCTCTCTTGTACACGCAGACCTCTCGTCTCGCATAATCTCTGCTACAGCTGGGCCGCTTGCAACTCACAAAATCCGTTTGTTCGGAAATTGTGGTGACGGTGCTATTAAACTGTTTATAAAAGAAAGAGATAAACAGCTGTGAATGAACAGATAATCGGCGTATCGCGTCATAACGGCGAGTGAACTCTGACTCACAACAACCTGTGTAAATACATCGCTTTCTTTTTACGAAAAGTTCACGAACCAAACAAACTAAAAAATGTATAGAGAAAGCAGACAGGGCCACTTCTCATAGCTAAACTAACTTGAATGATGCATGAAATGCGATAGCGAGGAGTCACCAACCAAAACAGAATCGCTTTGGCTTAACGTCGCTGGAGAGCCTGAATCACAGAGTGACGGAACAATCCAGGAAGTTAATCCTAGTATGAGATCGACGCCCCCTGAGCCTTTGCGGGTCAACCAGCCTAATCTGCCTGGAATACCAATTTCAGCTGGTGGCCTGCGTTATTGTCCTATAGCCACTTGTTAAGAGGAAAGTCTGTCTCTCAGAGGGGTGAAAATGTAAAAATGAACAGCCAAGGGCCCCATTCAGCTGCAAATGAGGACATAGAAAAAACCCAGGCCTGAAAGAGTAAAAAAGAGGAAGATGAAAGAGAGGGAGTTAGGAAGGAGGTGGAGAGGAGTAGCAGACAAGTTAATAGAGACCAAGATCCCTGAGATTTTACACGTCTCCGGAGTGACCCTGGTGTGAGCTTCAAGAAACTTGGATTCATTTCAATCCATCCACTTAACGGTGTAAAAACCAATCAAATGTCAACCTGCAGGTGGCAAAACAAAGGAAATCCGTAACATCCCACCACAAGCTGAAGATTGGGGTTAATGTTCTGTTGGCGTGCTTTCATCCCTAGAAACTACATTCAAGTTCTATTTCTCAATTTCATAGTAGATCAGTTAACGCTTGATCTCTTCAAGTGATAGTTCAACCTAAAAATGAAAATTCTGTCATCATTTATTCACTCTCAGGTCATTCCAAACCTGTATTAATGATCATTACGGCACTGAGTATAAAGTTACTTTCTAGAATCATATATTGCAAAAATAAACTGGCTTCCCAAAAACTCCCCTTGTCTGTCATTGGTTGACCAAAAAGGTAATGCCGCCCCAATCTCACCCCATTGGATAGACCAATTTTGCCCTGTTGGGTCAGGATGTTCAAACAAACAGCAATATTTTGATAGCACCACAAAGTCACAGTGTTTACACTCTTTAGGGAAATCAACCTACCAACAGATTACTTCAACCTTTCTCTGTGTATTAACTGGGATTGGAGAAAGTACTTTAACATCACCTCAATATAAAGTTTAGGCAGGCACCTTTAAGAAATCTCAAGCATTAGTTAGATGCTCAAAGTTTAGGCATGCCATATTTGGGACCATTCCTTCTTAGTAAACATTTTCAGCTGTGAAACTCTAACCTCTTCTTGGCGAACGAAAAAAACACGAAATGTGAAAATAGACAGTGCTTCTCTTGGGACCCAAAGAATTAATTACTTCCCTAGAGCTACTAAACCATAATTATATCAGACATAATTGGTTGAATTCAGGTCGAGATAAAGTTATCCTCTGGAATATGTGGATATGATACAAGTCTGGTCTAGCCATGAAATTGGGGACATCAAGCTAAGCGCTTTTTATAACTTTGGTTGTGTGCCAAACAGCATCTACACATACTACATTTGCAGTGTATAGTATGTGACTTTTAATTTGTGTAACATACGTAATATCAAACATGATTTTACGATTACCTCATTTTATTGGTCTGCCAAGAGTTTTCTTTTTTTTCCGCATTTACAAATGCAAAATAACCATGTTTGTTTCTGAGATGCCAACAGGGCGCCACTTTCTGCATTAAATATGAGGAAGTCATGTGACAACAATGCAGCACACTACTCTTACAGTTTCACATATTTAAAATGAAAAAAGTATGCAATAATAACTGTTGGTGATAAATTACATCCCCTACGTCATAATGCAATTTCTGCGATGGATGACGTAGTGCACATGCGGGGGGGGGGGGGGGGGGGGGGGTATTTCCCCAAAACTGAGAACACTATCTAGGAAATAAAAATGCATTGCTATAGCAACACAATCATAATAATTAAATGTTTTGCACATACTTTTAACTGCAATTTACACTTCAAATAACCAAATGTCAATCGTTGGCGCACCGTTCGCAAATTCAAACTTTCGCGAAACTTTTCGGAAACAACACGAATTAAAACTTCCCGGCTGTGATTTGGCGGAAAAAAAAAAAACACCGCCAGGTAAATATTTTCGTGTCTGGTGTCAAAAGATCGCGTAATCGTTGTGTCAACAACACTCCGCGCAAAGTATTTACTGGAGTGTTTCCTGACGCCGCGGATCGCGTGCGTATTCTGCGCTGTCATCTACAGTTTACAGTTCGCACAGTATCAGCAGCCTTACGTGGCTTGCGCGAAAGCTTGCATCTGATCAAAGCAGGGGAAATAAATGTCTTTCGGGCTCACCAGCTTTGCAGGGATCTTTGTAGTCGATCACATCTGACGGGCTGCTGGTCTCCACATAGTAGCCGGGGTCAATCGCGTCCAGATCGAGCGCTGCGAGCAGGGCGAAGCCGGAGAGCAGGAGCGCACACCTCGCTGCGAGGTCCATGATTGGGCTAGTGGAGCAGGAATAGAGGTACAGACGGAGAGAGATGATCGGTGGAGGGAGGGAGGAAAAATGGGAGGTTTTAGGGGAAATTAGATCCCTCTCGAGGGCGGGTTTAAAAACGCAGCTCTGCCTCCACACACACACACTCAGAGAGGGACACACTCACATAGCAGTGAAGTGATTTGTGCAGCTGGGCTGTGTGCCAGTGCATAGGTTACAAACTTTGTAGGAGCGAGGTGTTGGTGCTTCTCACACTGGTTTGTGACATGCCTCTATGTATGCCGAGATCCTGGTGAACACTCTAAAAAATGCTGGGTTAAATACAACCCAGTGCTGGGTAAAATAGGAACAAACCCAGCAATCGAGTTGTTTTGACCCAGCGGTTGGGTTACTACCCAGAAGGTTGGGTTAAACATTTAACCCAACCGCTGGGTCAAAACAGCCCAATTGCTGGGTTTGTCCCTATTTTACCCAGCACTGGGTTGTATTTAACCCAGCATTTTTTAGAGTGTAGGCTACCTATATGTTGTGTTTCCAGTGTATACTGTGTGCTGTGTTACTATAGCTATGTTCGTTGAAGTTCTGTATATATTGTGTTCACTGTGAGTGCTGGTCTCTGTGCATAGTACACTCTCAGAGAAAAAAGATACAAAAGGCATTACCCATTCAATAGTCACTAATAGGCTATGTACACTGTAGGTACATTCTGGTACTAATAGGTACTAATGTGTTCATTTTAGCTATTAATATGTACACTTCAGGTATTAATGTGTACCATTTAGGTACTTTATTGTACACTATAGCTATGTACCTACCTTCAGGGTTCCAGTGTGGTGTAAATAAGGTACGAAGGTGTAGGCTACCTTTTGAAAGTGTATCGCCTCAGTGACAGCTTTTGTAACTTTTCTTCTGAAAATGTAAGGTAAGGTATACTTTATTGTTCCAAATGGACATTTTAGTGTATAAAATTCCGTTTGTAATACTCTCGGTGTGGGTTTTCTGTTTTTACAGAACAGTGTTCCATGTATGTTCTTTACGTATCCATCCATCTAAATCAATAATGGACAAAATTGAAATATATCGGTATTATTGTTTATGTTATGATGAAAGCATGTTGAGGTTGAGGAGCCACCTACATAGTGTATACTATCACTTTGGGTGAAAACGTTATGGAGAATAAATATTCAATATATCGCATACAGGCAAAAAGAAAAGAAAAGTGTGGACACAAGCCATATGTGTTTCAGGAATACTGTAGTTCTGAGTAGTCAGCTGTTGCACTCTGCAATTAAGTATTTTTTAGTGTAAATATTTTGCAAATAAATGTACATTTGATCTGAACCATCTCCTATAAAATTCTAGATTCATTTTAAGTGTATCACTCAGTAATTTAATCTCGGATTGCATCCTGATGACATTTGCTAGAATTTATTTTGCAATAATATATTTATTGTTTTTATGTTCATCTCTGCATATTTTTAGTCATCTGATTTATTCGCAGGGTTACTGCAGCTCGTAAAAAAAGTCTTGCAAAGTCTTCATTCACCCTTACACAATCTAAGGCCTCAGAAAGGTCTTAAATCAATATAATCTTAAATTCATAAATTCATTGCATTTTAAAAGAATATATCTTTGTATTTTTCTTCACAAATTAAAATATGTGACACTGGACCACAAAACCAGTCATAAAGGTCCGTTTTTTAAATTGAGATTTATACATCATCTGAAAGCTGAATAAATAAGCTTTCCATTGATGTATGGTTTGTTAGGATAGGACAATATCTGGCCGAGATAATAACTATTTGAAAATCTGGAATCTGAGGGTGCAAAAAAATCTAAATATTGAGAAAATCGCCTTTAAAGTTGTTCAAATGAAGTTCTTAGCAATGCATATTACTAATCAAAAATTAAGTTTTGATATATTTACAGTAGGAAATTTACAAAATATCTTCATGTAACATGATCTTTACTTAATATCCTAATGATTTTTGGCATAAAAGAAAAATCTATAATTTTGACCCATACAATGTATTTTTGGCTATTGCTACAAATATACCCGAGCGACTTAAGACTGCTTTTGTGCTCCAGGGTCACATATCTACATTTACTTGAGATGCAAGTTTTAAAAACGGAACCAAATTAAGTGAGTTTATGCTCAAAACCATAACAAACCATCTGTCAATGGAGTAGGCAAACTTGAATGAAGTTGATTTATCTGAACCTATTGGCAGATGCTTGTTCTTGCTTTAATCATAATCAAACCGGTTTGATCCATTTCTCTTAAATCAAGACTTCATCTTGTGTCATTTTACTTCTCGAGTAAATGTATCTTGATTTATGAATCTGCGGACATTTGCACTGGACAACAAGACAAAAATGCTGATGAAGGACATGACTTTTTTACAGTGTGATCAGAAGGTATGGTAGAAGTTATTTCTGTATTATATAGCCTTTGGGAGCAGAGCTATTCAAGATTCATTTACATCAAGAGAAGGTTTTGTGTTTCCTTTAATGCATTCCTTAAATGTTCTTCATTTGGTCTTATAAGGTCTTTAAAAAGTCATAAATGTACCTTCATAAAAGCTGAATAAACCCTGATTTGTAAATATTGTTAATCAGCACATTGCTACAGACTTACTATATCATGCTTCTTTTCTTTCTATTAAAGGCAGGGTATGTGATTTTTCAAAAACACTTTAGAAAACTGATTCGGGCCGAATAGCAAAACAAACTTGTAGCCAATCAGCAATAAGGGGCGTGTCTACTCGTGATGTGGAGGAGAGAGCTTTCAGTGCACGGGACGGACATTGGCCGAGCCGAGCGACAGAAAGATAGAGATGGCGGATAAAAAAACAAACGAGGAAACCGTCTGCGGAACGATAAAACAAGAAGTAGGACCCGTGTAAATATGGGATCAGCTTTCCAGCGCTGGAGAGAACTCAAGGAACGGAGGCCTGCGATCGGACGCCGAGGTTGCTTTGCTTCTTCTCAATAGGTGAGTAACACCGTGTCTACAACAGCTAAAGTCTGCCTACACTGGACGTGCTCAAACGACCGTTGAAAACCATTTGAAATGTGTGTCAGCACGTCATAAATAGAACCTGGCAGCAGTTTTCTGTCGGGGATTTGTTGCGCCACGCCGCTCACGTCTGTAGACACGGTGTAACATTGGTTTTGCTTTGTTTCACAGAACTAATCGTTGCCTGGGTTGCATACGTATGTGTGGGGCGGAGCTATCAAAATAGGGGCAAGACCCTTTTGGGGTAGGGGCGTGTTTGTTTTGGTGATTTCAAATATCAACACTGGCTACCAGAAATCACTTACTCTGCCTTTAAAGGGGAATTCCATATTGTTTATCCTCAGAGTCATCGTCTGTGGAGTGGAATAGTGGAATTCCCCTCTCATGCATCTGTTGCTGTTTCTTTATTATGTATGAATCTGAATCACACTGAATCACAGCACTGTGTGTATGGATCTGATACAATATGAGATCCCAGATGACATTGTGTTCCCATCAAATTATTGTTAGAGATGCCAAAAAATGTGAAGTCTTTAGTCACTTCCTTTCTATACACAAATTCATCATAATGATACTCAAAGGAAAATCCCTCCTGCATTTGAGTCCATGTCAAGTAGAGTGCATTTTAATGTATCCAAGTTTAAGGATGTCTTCCACTCCCTGTTTATTGTTCATCTTGTCTAGACTGTATAGTGTCATAAAAGCTCACAACAGCAAGATCATGGTTTCGATAACATAATATGTCTCTTATACATGGAAAAAAGCAACTGCAAATGTTATATGTTGCATCTTTGAAACCAATATAATCAAGAAACTGATATTTCATTAGAATATATTGAGTGTTTTGGAAGTTTATGTATCAAAAATCTATCCATCAATTAGTTAGTCAATGTAGCCAAATGTCTGTTATTTGACTGTAATGTTTTCTTATCTTAATAGCCTACAGTTACACACAATAGCAGATTATAGACCCGAGCAGGCAACAACAGTCCGAATATAAGTACTTATTATAAGTGTACCGGAGAGATTAGGAATAAGACAAAAACGCAGTTTGGAAGATGAATTCATGATGTACTCGCTCATTATATACATTTTGCACATTTTGAACACAGAAAAAGTTGCATAGTGCTGCTTTAAATTTGAGTTTGAATATCATTTTGCGTGACATTAGCAGCCATAATGACAGAGACAATTTAGGATCATTTACCTCTGATTTTTTAAATAAATAAACAAATAAAACGAACAAGAACGACTGCAATGGAAGCTGATATTAACCTGAACTGTCATACGGGACGCCTAAGTTTATGTCACTGTAGTACAATTAAATCCTAATATAATCATGACAAACTATATATCATTGGAAAGGTCTAAGACTCCTAAATATATATTTTACAATTTTATTTGTTACAAATTATGTAGGAAAAGTAATAGATAATATATGGCAAGAGTGCACCAAGCGTCTATGACAAATCTACATCATAACAGGAGTTCTGACCTTTGTCACAAAAAGTCTTTATTTTGTGGCCTTTTTCCCTATCACATGTTTTAGTAATCATCCTGAGTTATATACCATTTGAAAGCTTAAAATCTCAAAATGTATCCTGTGAAAACCGTTTTGAAATCAAATATTGCAATACCATAGAAATGGTTTTTCCAAATATTTTAGCGGTCTCCTCCCCCTTAGCGGGAGGAGTCATATTACAAAATGTATTACGGTCTTTTAGACTCAAAACTGTTTATAATCTTGACAAAATACATATCGTTGGAAAGGTCTGAGTCTCAAGATTACATATTTTGTGATAGCAGTAATATCGAGAGAGAAATTGATAGATTTGTGACAGAAATGCATACCATTTCAAGTTTGGGTGGCACCCGGTGGCTGTTTTTGGTATAACACCTAAACAAAATGTAATCAGAAGGACACCTCTGGTGGCGAGCAGACAGAAGACCACGGACCGGATTCGTGACATTAACTGTCACGGGACGCCTAAGTTTACTTCACTATAGTACAATTCAATCCTTA